ACTGGAAATTATTTAGTATATAAATGTCAAATAGGAACAAAGATTAAAAAAGCAAAAAAGATATGTAAACAATAAATAGCAAAATGGTTAATGTAACTTCCACCATATCTATAATTATGTTAAATGTTAAATCATCTAAACATCTCACTCAAAAGGCAGAGACTTTCAGATTGGAAAAATAGCAAGATCAACTGTACCATTTGCAGAAAACATCCTTTCTATTCAAAAACACAATCATTTGAAAGTAAAAAGGTTTTTAATATACATAGATATGTCATACACATAGTAAACCAAAGACAGTAGTAGCAGTGAAATCACTGGATAAAACAGACTTTAAAACAATAAAAAAATGCAATGAGGGGTAAAAAAGGACATTTCTTAATAAGAGGGTAAAAATATTTGGAAGATAACATTTAAGAGTGCTTATCCATCTAATCACAGCTTCAAAACATACAAAGAAAAAACTGACAGACTGTAAAGGAGGAAAAGCCAGTAATACATTAAGATTTCAATATTTCACTCTCAATACTATTAGAACACCAAGGCAAAGCACCCACAATAAGACAGAATTCTCAACACTAACCCTAACTGGCTCAATCACAGAATACACACACATTCCTTCCCACTAAGGACCATTTCATTCCCTAGGACAGGCTGCAGGCTAGGCCATGTGCAGAAACTATGGCTGTGTGGCCAGATCCAGCCTGCCGCCTTATTCATTTAGGTTTTACTGGAATACAATCACATTTACTTACCTAATGTCTGCAGTGGATTTCATACTACAACAGCAGAGCTTTATTTGCAGTAGACTATATGATTTGCAAACAAAAAAGAATGTATTATCTGTTGCTTCACAGACAAAACAAATTATAGCCTCTATGGCGGGCCTTTAAAAACTCCTTACCCATTTAAAAGAATGGAAATTACAAAAAAGTATTTCCTCTGATCACAACAGAATTAAATTTAAAATGAGCCACAGAAAGAATTTTCAAGTGAATGAAAAATTGTGTAACAGAAACAGCTGAAGGGCTTCTCCTGCATGTTTCACGACTTTATAAAAGGCACTATACTCAAGACAGAATTAGATGTGGGACCAGTGGCACATACCTGTAGTTCCAGCAACTTGGGAAGCTGAGGTAGGAGGATCACAAATTCACAGCCAACCTCAGCAACTTAGTGAGGCCCTAGGCAACTTAGCGAGAACCTGCCTCAATATTTAAAATATATATATGGATAGGGATGTTGCTCAGTGGTGAAGCTTCCCTGGGTTCAATCCCCAGTACCAAAAAAAAAAAAAAAGAATTATACTAGTGAGAGGATAGGCATATATGTCAATGGATAATAATTGAGTCCAGAAATAAATCTATGGTCAACTAATATTAAAATTATGGTCAACTAATTTTCAATAAATATACCATGATAATTCAATGGACAAAGGATAGTCTTTACAAAAATAGAGCTGAAATAATTAGATATCTACATGCATAAAAGTAAATTTGGACTCATTTCCTCTTATTATATGCAAAAAATTAGCTTAAAATATATCAAAGACTCTTTAAAGCTAAAACCCTTAATATTCTTAGTAGAAAAGATAGGAGGAACATTTTCATGACTTGAGAACAAAGAGTTCTTAGATGTATCACCCAAAATGCAAGCCACACAAAAATGAAAAATTAGACTTAATAAAAAATGTTTATAATGTTTACATTTCCAATGAGAAAAAACATTAGCAATCATATACACAGCAAGGGATTTATATTCAGAATATAATGTCCAATAGGTATGCAGGTAGGTAGATAGGTAGGTAGGTAGTTAGGTAGAGGTAAAACCTCTTACAAGTAAAAAATACAGACAGAAAACATAATTATAAGTGGCAGATTCTTACAAAACTAAATGTACTCTTACTATATGATGCAATCACACTTCTTGGTATTACCCTCCAAAAGATGAAAAAGTTTACATACAAAAATCTGCACATGGATGTTTACAACAGTTCACATATAATTGCCAAATCTTAGAAGTTATTGTAGTATTCTTCAGTGAGTGAATGCAGAAATAAACTGGTACATCCAGACTACAGAACTTTATTCAGTGTTTAAAGGAAATGAGCTGTCAAACCATGAAAAGACGTGGGGGAAAACAAAAGAAGCCAGTATAAAAAGATTATAATCCTGCATGATTCCAACTATATGTCAAACGGGGAAAGAAAACTATGGAAAAGGTAAAAAAAAAAAAAAAAAGTAATTGGTTGCCAGAAAGGAGAGATGAATATGTAAAGCACAGTTAATTTTTTGGGCAGTGAAACTATTCTCTATGGTGTTTTAATAGTGGAAACATATTATTATATATTTTTCTAAATCTACAAAATGTCCAACACCAAGGATAATGGCAGCTATGGATTTTGGATGATAATGCTGCATTGATGCAGGTATGCATTAATTGTAACAAACATACCAGTGTCATGGAGCATACTGATAAATGGGAGAGGGTCATAAAAGAAATCTTTGTACCATCCTCTCAATTTTGCTGTGAACCTAAACATATTCTAATTTTTTTTTTTTTTTTGGTACTGGGAATTGAACTCAGGGGGCATTCAACCTTTGAGCCACATCCCCAGCCCTATTTTGTATTTTTTATTTAGAGACAGGGTCTGAGTTGCTTATTGCCTCACCATTGTTGAGGCTGGCTTTGAACTCGTGATCCTCCTGTCTCATCATCTGGAGCTGCTGGGATTAAAGGCATGCTCCACCATGCCTGTCTCTATTTTTTTTTTTAATGGGGGAAATTTTTAATAGATATTTTACCAAAGAATGAGTACAAACAACCAATAAGCACATTCAAAGATCCTTAATCCAATTAGTTTGTTTCTTAAAGTAGTAAACACAATTTACCATTTGACCCTTCTATGCAATTTTTCAGACTCTATCCAAGAAAAATAAAAATATTTACCTATATATACAAAGACATTTACCAGATTATATGCATAATTTTATTCATAATAATCAAAACTGGAAACAATTCAAATATTCATCAACTGGTGGGTGAATACATGAAAGTGGTCTAATTATACTATGGAATGCTATTTAGCAATGAAAAGGAGTGAATTATTGATATATGCTGCAACATGCATAAGCTTTAAAAACATTATAGTAAGTGAAGGAAGGCAGATACAAAAGCCTACACATCATACAATTCCAGTAATATGAAATATCTAGAAAAGGCAAATAATTATAGACAGAAAGCAGATCAAGGATTGCCTAGGTTTGGGATTTTGAATGAAGGAAATGTAGTAAAATCTTGAGAATGTGAGGAAAAGAATATAATGGACATTATATTCTGAATATAAATCCCTTGCTGTATATATGATTGCTAATGTTTTTTCTCATACATTGCTGGTGGGATTGCAAATTGTGCAACCATTCTGGAAAGCAGTATGAATGAAGATTCCTCAGAAAACCCAGAATGGAACCATCATTTGACCCAGTTATCCCACTCGTTGGTATATACCCAAAGGACTTAAAATCAGCATACTATAGTGACATGGCCACATCAATTTTTATAGAAACTCAATTCACAATAGCAAAGCTATGCAGCCAACCTAGGTGCCCTTGAGCAGATGAGTGGATAAAGAAAATGTGGTATATATACACATGGAATATTACTCAGCCAGAAAGAAGAAATATGGCATCTTCCAGTAAATGAATGGAACTGGAGACTATCATGACAAATGAAATAAGTCTGTCCCAAAACACCAAAGGCTGAATATTCTCTCTGATATGTGGATCCTAAAATACAAAGAGAGTCGGTGTGTGTGTGTGGGGGGGATTAGAAGTTCATTGGGTTACATAAAGGTGAATAAAAGGAAGGAAGGGGGATAGTAATAGGAAAAACAGTAGAGTGAATCAGATAACTTTCCTTTGTTCATATATGAATACATGACAAGTATAACTCCACATCATGTACAACTGCAAGAATAGGATCCTAATTAGAATAAGTTATATTCAGTGTATGTGTAATATGTCAAAATACAATATACTATAATGTGTATCTAAAAAGAACACATTAAAAAAAAGAGAGAGAAAGAAGGCCAGGTGTGATGGCATAGGCCTGTAATCCTAGTAACTTGGGAGACTGAGACAGGAGGATCTCGAGTTCAAAGCCAGCCTCGGCAAAAGCAAGGCCTCAAGCAACACAGTGAGACCCTGTGTCTAAGTAAAATACAAAATAGGGCTGAGGATATGGCTCAGTGGCCTAGTGTCCCTGAGTTCAATCCCTAGTACCTCCCCCAAAAGAAAGGAAAAAAAAAAAAAAACCCTCATATCCTTAACCATTCTTGTTACTTGATTCACAGAGTATTTTATTTAAGCTTGGGCAGGGAGATGGGGCAAGACTAAGCTTTAAAGCCCAATCTCCATTGTATCTTCAGGATATTTTTAGCCACCTCATGTTACTTGCTCTCCAGGTACTGGTTTTTTGAATTCTATGTTTGTATTGCCATGAGGCCTAGAACAATGTCTAATAAAATTAAAAAGAGGTAATGGTTGAGAATTTAGTAACACAATTAAATCCATAATGAGTAAAATATTAGACCAGATTTTGTAACATGTTAAGTTTTCATTTCAGATAATTCTACCTACTGGAATATGAGGTCTTGGATAGAAAGGAGCTGGGAACCCTTGGGAAGAACTAACTGAGGGAGTCCATCAATCATCCCTGACCAGCAGTAATGGACCACGCCAGGGTGTGGTCTGTGGCTACCAAACTTCAGGCTCAAACTCCAGCTCTCCCACGGGCTCCTGTGGCCTTGGTTATGTTACAGGATCTCTCTCTGGTTCAATCTCTTATGCTACATACGGGGACCATCAACTATATCAACCTCACAGTGTAAAGATGAAGGAACTTCTGTGTGTGGTGCTGGCTGGAGGCGGATATTTTCCCCTAACTATTGTTTGTTACTCATATTTGTTCAGGAAGTAGCCACAGGAGGGGGCTCTGCTCACCTGTGGGAGGTCAGCACCACAGCACAGCCTTCCTGCGCCTCTTTCATTATTGTTTGCCACAGGTATCTTTTAGAGCAAGGATCCATTCCAGAGCTGGGCTCATCCTAGAGGAAAGAAAACACACAATGATATTAATTTGATGAATACACGTATGAACATACACTATCACATAAGGCCAGATGCTGGTTATGAGGAAAGAAATCCCTTCTCTGATGGTCGCAGGTACCTCTCCATCAGCTTGTCTGCATTCTGCTCAACAAAGCCAAGATAATGGGGAAAGGAGTGGAGTGCACTCATGCAGGATGCTACTTAAGAGGCCCACTTCTTTCTCATCTCCCCTAAATGACTGAGATATTGGAAGAGACTGGAAGTAGGGAAGAGAGGCCATGGGCCATTGTAACCACTCTGGGAATTCCACCAGAAAGCCTGCTGCTATGCCACTTGGAAGGTCTCTCTCTAGAGTCCTTCACACCGGTACACAAGTACACAAGCACTGAATCCCTCACTTTGCCTTTCTTAGTGGCCCCTTGAAAGGACCCCCAATAGGGCAGGTATAATAGGCATGTCACATAAGCAACCAGCACAGTTTTTTAAAGAGTTAGGAGAAAGCACACAAGCTCAAGCATTTCAGGGCATTGCCCTAGAGGGCAAATGGGAAGCTCTCAGGAGCTGGCATGAGATTCCACTGTGGGAGGGACAAAGGCATATAATCCTAAGAATTCCCCTCCCCCATCATGAGTGATCAAGAAGTGTGCAGTGTGCACGCCTATAGAAACGGTCTAAGAGAGCCTCAGAATGCACGCCCTAACTGACAGGGGAAAGTGTTTCTCTCCCAAAGAGAGCCATTAAAGACTGTGAAAACAGAAGAAATGCAAGACTTTAAGCAACATAGAGGAAGAGGTGGAGGAAGAGGAAGAGGAGGATGACCAAGAGGGCATAGAGGAGGAGGAGAAAGAATCACGACACCACTGAAGAACACGATGTTTCTGTGTTCTTATGATGGATTCCAATAGCTGATTTCATTGAACTGCAGATCTAAGAATCTCCAGACACAAAACTGAAAATAATCACCTTGAAGAAATTCAGTGAGTTAAAAAGGGAATATAAATAGAGAATGCAATAAAATCAGAAAAACAACACATGAACAAGTTCAAAAAGAGAAGTCATGTGAAAAGAACCAAGTGGAAATCCTGGAGCAGAAAACTGATGAATAAAATGAAAATGTAAGAGTGTCAACCGCTGATTTGATCAAGTAAATGGAAGAATCAGGAAATATGAACACAGGTTGTGTAAAATTGTTCAGTCAGAGGAGGAAAAAAAATTGAAAAGGAATGAAGAAAACTGACAGGATATTATACAAAACCCCTGTGAATATTTGTATCATGGCATTTATGGAGAAAATGTAGCCCTTATATACTGTTGGTGGGAATGTAAATTAGTAAGCCATTATGGGGCTTCCTCAAAAGTAAAAATAGAACTATTATATGATCCAAAAATTCCATTACTTTAAATACATGAAAAGGAAAAAAAAAAAGGAAATCAGTATATCAAAGAGTAAAAAAACATGCACTCCCATGTTTATTGCAGTACTATATACATTAACCAATATATGGGATCAATAGAAGTATCCATCAATAGATAAGTAGATAAAAACATGGCATGTACACACAACAGTACATTATTCAGAAATAAAAAAGAATGGAATTCTATCACTTGTGACAACATGGAAGAAGCTAGAGGATGCTATGTTAAGTGAAATAAGCAAGGCACAAAAAGAGAAAAAAACACGCTGTCATGAGTGTGTATGTGTGTGTGTGCGCGCATGTGTATATAATAAACATTATTCCTTTTTAAAAAGAAGGGAATTCTTCAGTTTCCAGCAACATATGTAGCATTGGAGGATGTTTTACTAAGTGAGATAAGGTAGACATGAAAGGATAACCACTTTATGATCACACATGTACCATCTAGAAAAGTCAAATGCACATAAACAGATTACAATAGTAGTTACCAAGATTGAGCATGATGGGAATGTAGGCAGGTGGGGCATGGTTGGAGGAGGTAGGTCACCGAGAGCATGCTCTTGGGGACTCCATATTGTCCCAAGCCCTTTTATCTCTGCTTCTTGGCTGCCAGAAGATGAAAAGCCTTCCTCTGCTAAGTACTTCTACCATGATGTTCTGCCTCATCTCATGCCAAGAGCAATGGGGCCCACTGATCACAAACAGAAACTTCTAAAACCATGAGCAAAATAAATCTTTCTTCCTCTAAGCTGTTTTTCTCAGGTTTTTGTCACAGTGACAAAACACTAACACACATGGAATTAATAAATTCTGGAGATATAATATGCAGCATAGGAGTTCTATGATTTGAATTTTTTGTCTCCTTGATCCCCAATACAACAGTATTGGGAAGCATGGCTTTTGAGAGGTGATTGAGTTAGGAAGTCTTCCCATTCATGATGAGTACAAGGTGCCCTGATGGAGGGCTTACACAGCATTTCTGGAGGATACTTAGTTCAAGGTGCCATCTTGGAGGCAGAGACAGGACCTTCACTGACCCCCAAAACTGATGGTACCTTGGTCCTGTACTTCCAGGCTTCAGGACTATGAAAAATATATTTCTTTTCTTTATAAGGTTACCCAGTCCGTGATATGTTGTTACAGTACCACAAATGGACTAGCAGGGACTGTAGTTGACAATGCTGTATTGTTCATTTGAAATTTGCTAAGACAGTTCATCTTAAGTTTTCTTACCACTAACTGAAAAAAAAAAAAAAAATGTCACTATGTGAGGGGCTTGATATATGAATTAGTTTGATTGTGGTAACCATTTCACAGCGTGTGTATCAAAACATTATACTGTACACTTTACATATATACAATTTTTACTTGTCAATGGTGGCTCCTTAAAAATAGGGGGTTGGGGATATGTTTTCGCATTAGCCCGATTCCCTTCACAATCTGCTTAGATAAGCCAACCTCGATGTCTCTAAAATAAATCCTCCACCTCCATAAACTTTTAGAATGATATCTCCTGGAAAGAGATATGATAGTAGAAAAAGGCTTCATTTATTTAGCAACATCAAATAAATTGGAATTTCTTGGAACCTGAAGCTTTTTCCTTCAATAAACTCCAAAACACTTGCTATCTGAACCATTTTGGAGAGAAATCTTGCCTAGCTATATAATGCATTTCTGGGTTTTCTGTAGTCTGGGAGCACTGAACACATTTTTCTTAAGAGCTTTGGGTCATCAACTTCCTCCGAGATGGGGGGAAAAAAAAAAAAACATAAGGGAAGTGTTGGAGAAAAGTCACTGAACAGGAAAATAAACACCTGGCTTTTTCTAAAAATCAAGTACTATGTGTGTACTACTTACAATAGTAAGTAAAGAATATAGTCCTACATCGTTCAGTAAAAGGGTTGGGTGGTTAATTTTTAATTTTCTGGATTGTCACTGTGGCATGAGTTCCAAGAGCCCTTCCTTGTCTCTCAGCGGAGAACTTCAAAACCATCATTTGAAACTGATGCTCTGAACAGTCACCATCATCCCAGTTACTAAACACTTAATGTAGATTTATTATGCACAAGGCATTTGGCTGTGCACTTCATGTGGATTATATCAGACAAGGTGGAAACAGGCTTAGAACATGCAAAGTCATATGCTATAGAACTTCAAAAGCAAAATCCACACCAGTTCACTAGGACTCCAGGGTCCTCACCTGGCCACTGTGCCAGAGTCCTGGACATTCAATGGGAATGAGAGCAAGGAAGATAAAAGAAGAGAAAGCTGAGATCTGTCATAAGTCAAGAGCACAACCATACAGCAGATCCCCTTCATCTGACTGAGGAGATGCTCAGATGCTCCAGGCTGAGCACAGAGACATCCTCTAGGAGGAGCTAAGGCTCAGACTGTCTCACCTTGAGAGGATAATGCCATTTGGGAACTGCAAAATGGTAAAAATGTTAACTTGTATTATCTGGTTTCAGAATATAAAATTATGCATTAGTCCTTGATTTGGGACTTTTCAATAGCAAACTTGGATGAATTAAAACAATACTCAGGTGAGTTTCCAAAGGACAATAAATGACAGGACCACATTGTTCAGCATGGACTTTCTGAATCCCCATTAACTCTCCCACTGAAAGGCTGTTTTCATCTGGCAAACAAGAACAGAAAAGAGAATCTGCTTTATTCCCTATATTCTTTGACACCCATCAGACAGTCTGCCAAAGTGCAGCCCTGAGGTGAACATTAGTGATTAGAATCTAATCTATACCATAAGAACAATATTCTACTTACTGTTTGAATGGCATTATGTATAGCTAGAGCTTTTTTTGAAATGTAAGGCAATTGGCTCTGTTTATGGGCAGTATCACCTCCAACTAATGCTTTGAATTAATTTAGAATTGATTGCAGTTCCCAGATGGATTACAGAATGCTTTGTCTCAAGGCCATACCGCATGCTATACCTTTTCTGGAACTCTCTTCCCTCCCTTCCATATCCATCAGGCCATCTATGTGTTAGCCAGTTTTTCATCATTATAAGAACTACTTGAGATAAACAACTTATGAAGAGAAAGCATTTATTCTGTTTCACAATTTTGAAGGTTCTAGATAATAACTGGTTGACACTGCTGCTTCTGGGGCGGCAACCAGGCAATATGTCTTGGCAGGAACATTTGGTGAAGCAAAACTGCTCACCTCATGGTTAGGAAGCAATAAAGAAGAAGGGTCCAAGGTCTTACTATCTCTTTGAGGGCAGCTCTGGATGACCTAAAGACTTCTCACTAGGCCCCACCTCCTAAAGGTTCTACCAACTACCAATCACAGCATGGGGTGGGGCCAAAGCTTTAACACATGGGCTTTTGGGGAATCTGCATCTAAATTATAGTAATCCCTCACATCCATCCTCATGATTTACCATAGATATGTGTCATTACAGTTATGATGAACATATATCGGCTGGTAGAAAAAGACTTAAAAGCATTGTGCTAGAGGAAAAATACCTATTGATTTTTCAGATTAGAAGTGAATTCTATTTTTTTTAATATAATTTTAATGTTATAATTTGATTGACAACTGAGTTTGGGGGTGAGTGGCAGAGTGCTTGTCTTGCACGTGTAAGGCACTGGGTTTGAGCCTCAACACCACATAAAAATAAATAAATAAATAATAAAGGTATGTGTCCATCTACAAGTAAAAAAACATTTAATTTTTTTTTTATTGACTTTGACAAGGGTAAGTGAATCTCCCAAAAGATACATGTCTTATTTCTATATAAGTCTAGTAGTGTTTTACATTTTGTTTGGGAAACGTTGAGTTAGGGCAGAACAGTTCATTAGTTTGTAAAATCAGTGTTGTGAATTCTGAAGTTATTTCCTACAAGAATTCTATTTAGTTAAACTACGTTTACAAGTACACGTGCAATGGGCATCTCATTTCAAGACAATGACATATTACTGGTATTTCCACTACTCACCAATAAAAGAATGTCAGGTTTCCCTACTAGGGCCAGGGCTGTGGAGAGCTTCCGCTTGGTTCCCCCACTGTAGGTAGCCACAGGTTTCTCCACATGGGCTTCCAGGTGCAGGCGCCTCACAAGGTCTCCAGCCACCTGGAAGAGAGGAGCCACTGGTGAGCATGCCACCCCTCACCATGCCACCAGACACCAGACCTCAGCCCTGACTCCTGCTCCTTCTTCCCACCACCCCTGTCCACCCCTCACATGGATGGTCAAGTACATTCCGTGGACCACTCCCTTCATGATATAGGGAGAAATTGAGAAAGAACAGGGGGGTATCTTCTGTGCCTGCAGATTTCTGACTGATCCCCAAAACCTCTGGGTCTGGAGCTAGGAAAATAGTAGGTAAGAAACAGACTTAGTTCTGAGTCCAGACTAATGTCGACATTAAGACGAGCAGAAAGAAGGTAAACCAAAATGAACACTGAGATGGAATTGGACAGGAATGAAACCAAGACAGTGAACTGTCAAAAAACCTCATGGGAGGAAAGAACTGAGAGGACTTTTCAATATTAGCACAAACAAAGAAATATCCACTGTACATTAAGAAACCATTGATAAGAGTTTGCACACTCAGAGTTCAGTATCCAGAGGTAGGGAAAGAATGGGGAGTACTTTGTTCCCAACTTCTGGGAACCATTTTAGCAAGTAATAAGGATGGTGATTTCATTCACCAAAGCTCCACTCTTGTCCACAGGGGAATTCTGACTCTCCTGGGACCCCATGCACACAGCTTCTCTACCTCTCCTCTCTTTCAATCTGCCCTCTTTTCACACACCCTTGAAAATCCAACTCATCTCGTCTCTCCTTCGCATAAATACTGATCCCCTATTGCAGGTGTCACATGCATCTCACAGCACTTAAGTCAGCACTTCCCACTGTAATTGGCACCATAGTCTATGATGTTTCCAGTTCCATCATCTCCTGTACTGGGAGCCAAATTGGGCAATTTTTTTTCCCCAATTCTGCATAATTTAAAATGTTGCAGTTTTATTTGACTCTCATGACCATAATGATATAATTTAAATATTAAGATAGATTCAGTTTTAGACATTACTGTCGGGGGGCCGCCATGAACAAGAGCTGAGCGTGTAGGAGCTGAGCAAGTCCCCTTAGCCTTGATAATGAAGGTGTGGACCTGGCTTCTGCTCCCAGCACCAAAGCAGGCAGACCTCACTTTTGCTCTCAAGGGAGTGCAGCTCTGGGAGTGGGCGTCACCCAATGGGACAGGGCTATACCCCTCACCCCCGTTTGCTGGAACACAATCCCTTGCCTTGTTTGGGTGGAATATTCTTGAATGTCTTCTCCCCAATAAATAGGAGGGTTTCAGGCATGCTTGCTCTCTTTTGCCTGCCTCTCTTGCCTCCTTTGTGGGAGCTGAGGTTGAGGAGCTGTTACTGAACGCCCCCCCCCCAAAAAAAAAAAAAAGATTTTTTCCATCTCTGTGTGGTTATTTATTAGCCAGCCCAATTCACTTGGAGTGACCCTTACTGAATCAGTCACATGTCATAGCATCTTACACAACCAAACTGGCCAGTATCATGGGTTTTTTTTTTTTTTTTTTTCACTCAGCTCCTCCTCATGGTTTTCAGTACTCAACATGATCAGAGAAACTTCTCTGAAAGTATGGTCTTCCAATATCATACCTTAATTCAAATTTAGGAAAACTTCCATAGGAATATGAAGATAATACTTGTGTGTCCTAAATAGCTTGTAAAATTTAGCTTTCCTCTAATGAATATATATTTATTGATAAACATAAAAATTATGATAAATGGATAAGATGATATTAAGAGGCTTTAAAATATAGCAGTGCTGTAAATACTTCCCAATAAAAACTTTCACACAAATTTACTCTATTTTTTTATTTGTATAATCTCTGAATAATTTAGTAATTGAACTACAAAGCTCCAGAACTGATCTTGTGTTCAAATAGCATAAGTCGAGAAAACAGACTTCCAGGCCCAAAGAATTCACGAAGAAGCAATCTCATATCTCCAGCTATCTGCCTAAGAAAGTGAACTCAAGGCCAATTGCTTGTTCTTAGGAAAACAGGCTACTTGTTGTCTCCAGGTTGTTTTATATAAACAAACTATCTTTTTCCTGGCAGCATTCAGCCCACTTGATCAATTAACAAACTGAATAAAATTTAAATGAATAAAAATTCAAATAGAACACTTTACTCAAAATAATCAAGCACAAATATTAATGAAGTGTCATATGAATAAAGAGACACATGCCTGACACTGCAGGAACTAGAGCAATGACAGTGGTGCTAATGGATTCACCCAAAATTGCCCCAGAAAGCAACCATCAAGAAGTATAAGTTGAGTCCTGGGAAAAACATTCTATGAATGAGGAAGGAAGGGAACACAGGAGGATCCCCACCAAGGAAGCTTTTGTCCCCACAAGGAGGCCTAGGAGCATTGCAGAAATTGTTTAAAAAGTTTGTCTTTTGGAAAAAAGCAAATGTTAACAGCTCTAAGGCTAGCAGCAATAACACATGGGGAAAAATAAATTTTGGGTGTTTTTTTTTTTTCAAACCATAAAAGTCAACAAAATAATGAAAAAATATAATGTATATAATTAGACAGTTTTTATTTTACTCTCATACATTATAAAGATCAGCAATAAATGAAAGCTGATGAACAGACAAATGAAGTAAAATAATAAAAATCTGATTTTGTAGAAATGTACCTCAGACTAATTAGAGAAATGTTGAATAAATTCATCAAGATATTATGGCTTATTTTTTATGAAACCAGGGAAAGTATGGCTTTTTTTTCCAATATCACAAAATCTTAAATGCTGCAGTCTCCAAATCCTCAATCAGTTAACCACAGCAAAGATTCCAGAAGAGACAGGAACAAATATATCAGTTTGATCTAATGCTCTCTAAATGTTACATTTTCAGAAAATAACTGAAAATGGCCTAAGAAGAAGTATTTCGTTGGCGTCTTTCTGCACTCTGCACTGCTATCAAAATAATGGCAAACATAATGTCCTAGCAATCAAGGCTGGCAAAATACTACCTATGGCCCAAAATGTCACAGGTTACAGAATCTGTTATTCTCCCCCAAAAAACCCAAAATGTCATAAGTTATACAGTCTGTTATTTTTCTCCCAGAAAACTCTAGAAATAGTATCTTACTTAAGGCAAAAGATCAGGGTTTATTTGTCTTTATATTCCCCATGTCTCCATCACACTTGCCACATGGTAGGGCTTTTAACATTGGAGCCAAAATAGATTGCCCAGAAAATATTAAACAATTGTTGAATTCCAAGGCTAGAAGTGATCCACTAGCAAATATGAGGATCACTTCAAAATTTCATGTAAGATTAAAATAAGTAAGAAGAGACTTTTAGATAGAAATTATTATTTTCTCAGCCTCCCTTTGCAGATGACCTTTACTCTTTCATCCCCCGTCTTGTGACTTCTAGCTCATTCTTGTAAAACTATGAATCGAAAAAAACTCAAGACAAATGTATGGCTATAGAGGATGTTGAGAAGCCACACACAGTATGTGTTTTTCCTGGAAGGAATTTGTGCGTATTCACAAAAAATAAAATCGGTAAAGACTCTACATATTCAATCCCAGGGAAAACTAAAATGGAAATCTTCTACATCTCATCCTAATTCAAAGTGTTGCTCAATTGCTTGGCTTTGATATTAGCCCTGAAATTACCCACCCCCATTAACTCCTCTCACATGCTTTCTTTCTCTAGCATCCCAGACATTGTAGTCCTTGTCTCCTGAATCATTTGACTGTAACTTAATATAAAATTCTTTACCAGGTTAATTGAATTCAGGCTCAAATATGTACACCATACAAAATGTGCATAAGGAAAGACAGAGAAAATTGGAAATCATTACTTCAACCCGTGGGACCTGAATTCAAGCTGAAGGAAGAGTTACCTTTTACTTCCCTTCCTGGACTTGTGAAGGTTTTCAGGAGTGAGGAATGTGACTAACAAAAATGACCAGCTAGCTGGAGTATAGGTGGGCTGGGGGCCCTGAAACATGGATCAAGTTTAGCACAGGGCTTGGGCTCTGGGGGTTGTAGGGAAGTAGTTGGGGTGTGAGGCTGATCTGGGGGACTTTCAGCAAGCATAGGATGATCTCCTTGAATCACAAAAGACCCAAGGTGGCTGTCCATGTTGCCATGAACAATAGATGGAGCCTAGAGAAAATAAACAACATGCACTGCAGATGAGCTAAAAAGAATTAAAAAAAAAAAATCTCATGTTTATATGTCTGTGTCCTGAAAGCTTGGAGGGGAGGTGCACATGGGGTCCCAACCTGAGCCAGTGGAAGATAAATCAACTATGCAAAGCTCAGGGTTAGAGGAGCCATGCAGTAAACCCATGTGATTTCCACTCCCTTGACCACTCCAATGAATAAAATGTAAGACTGAGCTGTTGGTGGCACGAAGAATTTCATTTTATATCACTAGCAACCAGAATGCACTAAGGATCAGGGTAGTGTCTTAATGAAGAACATGTACTCTGGAGCTGGTTTACATAATTTCAAAACAAAATTCTGCCACAAGCTATCCAGGTAACTTGCATAAGTGCTCTGTGCCTCAGTTTCTCTATTTACAAAATGAGGAGTAATCCTGTTATCTACATGTTGACTGTAAAATACTATAAAAACATTACCTAGAAAAAGAATAAATACTGGAATATAGTTGTGCATTGCTTATCAACAAGACACTTTCTAAGAAGTGAATTGTTAGAAAATTTCATCATCCGATGAACTCTTTAGAGTTTATTTACACAAACCTAGATAGTATAGCTCAATCACTTGATAGGGCCTCTTAATGCAATCAAGACTCAGTAATCACAAGATGTTTGAGGCTTTTGCTTGTGTCACGTGGCATGTTGCCTTACAGTAAACTGTTTTTTGTAAATGGGAGTATACTCTAATCATAAAAACATCATGTAGTAAGTATATAAACCAGTAACAGTCATTTATTATCAACTGTTTTTTGTTTTGTATCCTGGTGTTACAAAAAAAAATTTTATGTGGCTGACAGTGCAGGTATGTATACCAGCACCACCACAAACATGTGTGATGCATTGTGTTACCATATTATGATGGCTGTGATGTCACTAAGTGATAGGAATTTTTCAGTTCCATTATATTAGGGGACTTCCATCACATACATGGTCTGTGGTTGACTAGAATTTTAATAATAAAGTTATTATATATAAACAGTGCATGACTGCATTAGCTACAATGGTTATTTTCTGTTATTTTATAATAATTCCCTCGGGTCATCTTGTGATAAGTATTTCAGAGCACATATACCCATTTTTTTTATGATTTGTATGTAGGAATGTCCTCCCAACCCTAAGTTCACGTTAAGCAATTCAGTGATATTCAGAGGTGAAAAGATTGGATTATGAGGGCTATAGGTAGATTAATCCATTTGATGGATTATTAACTTGAATGGACTACTGGGTGGTAACTATAGACAGGTGGAGCATGGCTGGAGGATGTGGCTCACTGGGGTTATGGCCTTGTACTAAATCTGATCTGGGCTCCTTTCTCTCTCTTCCTCTTCCTCTCCCCCCACCCTCTTGCTTTCTGGCTGTCATGAGCTAAGCAACTTTCTTTCTTAGACCATAATGTTCTGCCTCAACTTAGTCTCAGAGCAATGGAGTCAGTTGACCATGGACTGAACCTCTAGAACTATGAACCAAAGTTAATTTTTCCTCCTCTAAGTTGTTTCTGTCAGATATATTGGTTACAGAAACAAAAAGCTAACAAACTGGTTTACATTTCTATATATTCCCACCATTTACAGGAGAGGGGTATTTGCTAAGAAGGGAGCTATTGCCTTTGGGAGCAGATGGAAAAGTGTTCTGATCTATTAGAAACCTCTGAGCGAGCAAGTAGCAATACTGTCTGCAAAATCAGTTGCAGTCTCAAGAAAGAAATAAAGCCAGTTCTTAATTGGTGGCCATTAAAATAACTTCTCCGTGGAGGAGTTCAGAAAACAAGGCTGTAAGACAGCTGAGAATCAGGAGGCAATTGCCCTGGATGACAGGAAGCACCAAGCCTTTCTATATTAAGAGACTTTTCACAGGCACTTTCCCCACAGACAGCATAGGGGCCGGTTTACAGCATTTGCCAAGCATCTGCCTCTTTAATCAAAAACTAACAAGGGGGAGCTGACAGAGAAAATGCCTATTAAAGATGGAGCCAACAATTAGTGCTGGATTCTAAGATCTGTTTAACTGCAGTGAGCAGGTCTCCTGCAGAGTGGTTAGTTTTCTTTGCTTTATTAAGATGGGAGGTGCATAAAGGGTCCAGGGTCTCCACAATGAGGTAGAGGGTCTGTTCTGGCTTCACTTGAAGTCACAGAGCATGAATAAGAAATGAAGGCTGAAGCATTACAAAAACAGCACAGTGAATGAATTTTCATGGACTGGTGAAGGCGATGACTATTAGTTTTGTCTCTTGTGAGTCCTACAGTGTTCCAATGGACTCTAATAGAATATCACATAAGCTAATTTTTTTTTCTGCTCCTAGTGCAGAATCCAGAAATGAGGTGCAGAAAAGGTAAAATTGTGCATGCAGCAACTGCTATTCCAGTACTGTCTACTTGGAACATTTGCTGATCTGTCCATCAAAGCTCTCCCCACTGTTTCCCTGACCACTGCTCCCATCAAGAGAAGTGGCAGCAGTCTCTTGCCTCAATTACACTAGACTCTCCTTCCTCTCTCAATGATATGCGGTGGTCTGGGTGGTCCTGTGGATCTTACTCTTCCTTCCGTCTCCTGAGGCCACTCAGAATGAGACTCCTTGCAGGAATCTGTGGGCCTGCTTACCAGGAAATTATCCATTCCAAAATTTCATATACATTCTGTGATCTCTCCCCTGTAAGCTCTGGACATACCCAGTCTATATGTGCTCTTGAATATAAATTAATAGTCCAGTAATTATAAAAGACATTTAGAGAAAAGAAGGAAGATACAAAGTCAGAAATTATGTTATTTTTATTTAACTTCTTTCTCATGTCTCACAGACACATTTTAAATAAATAATATCATTAATACAACCATATTTTAATGTCTCCTTTTGTACAATCATAATGAAAAAGGCCTTTCTGATACTAAAGCCTTACTCGATGTTATGGCTCCTTTTTCTTATAAAGTAAGAGAGACATTGGGGCCAGAGGTGCTAACTAAGCATTCCTCAATGGGTCCTTCTTTTTGGAAAAATTCTAGGGATGCTTACCTCAGGGATGCACTGCTTTGTAATCCCCCGTAGGCTACAGTAATAATGGAGATGTTCCCAACCGGTCAGGAGCTCATCTAGGGCGTCCTGCTGAGGACAGTAGCCAATGAGAACACCCGCCTTGCCCGCAGAAGACAGATCCACCTCCTTCCTGCATAGACAAAAAGGGAACAGGTTGAGAACAGTCTTCCCTGGCAAACATCAACCCATTTTCTAAATTTAGCTCATCAGTAAGTCCACTGAAGTTAATTTGCTATAATTAACTCACTTTGCATAAATAGGTTCAACTAAGAAAAAGTGAAGGATATCAGAATATGCAGCCTCAAAGCATGTATCTCTGACACGTGGACTATTTTGGGCTAATGGAAACTAAGCAACAGCAGAGGTAGGGAAAGCAGTTTCGTTTTCCTCTGTAAAAAGAGTATAAATTCCCCCACTTATTTATTTATTGGTACCAGGAATTGAACCCAGGAACACATAACCACTGAGCCACATCCCCAGCTCTTTGATTTTTTTTGAAACAGGTCTCACTAAGTTGTTGAGGCTAGCTTTGAACTTGTGATCCTCTTGCCTCAGCCAACCAAGCCCCTGAGACTACAGATATGCACTACCATGCCTAGCTTTAAATTTCCCCTTTTATTAAGAAAATTTACATGTGTAAAGATGTCTCTGAACTAGGAAGACAGCTCCTTGCAGAGACTACTCTGATGAGCTGAGAGACTATGCTCTCCAAATAGAGACAGCTGTTCCTCACCAGACACTTTCTCCCCTCCCTGCCCACAAGGAGCCCACCAACCAGAACCCAAAACCACTACACCTTTGCTCAGCTTAAGATGGTGCTCAAGCCTCATTCTTCTGACCAATGCTTAGATTTTTTTTTTTTTTTTTTTTTGTAAGCACAAAGAGGCTTCAAGTGGGTTCCAGGTCAGGAAACCAAAAACTGTAAGCACAAAGAATGGGGACAGGAAGCCAACCTGGGATCAGCAAGCTCTTCTTTATTCAGCAGAGGAGTCAGTCAAACATCCAAGAGGGTCACCTTGGGACAGAAAAACCAAACTGGGCCTAGCCAAGAGTCTGAGTTTTATAGGCCTCATTTAGGGTGGGGCAGAAAGGTAATTCCTAGGGTTTATTAGGATCAGCTGATGCATTCGGGTAGGACAGAAGGATAGGTAGGGAAGTTTCTAGAGTTTACTGCATTAGAATCAGCTGATCCATTATGGTAGGGAGTTAAGTGCTACTCAGGTGAGAGTTCTTTGACATTTTCCCTTCCTGCCCTACTCTGGCTGAAGCCTGGGCCCTTAAATAACAAAAGCTACAATTTACTACTGGACAAGTCTGGTGAGGAAACAGCTGTAACTAGGAAAAAATGTCCTGGGTCTATTTTCCATATCCTTCACTGTGTATATGTATTTTCTCACTAATATGCCTTTTGTCAGTTTAGTTTCCAGGGCCCTAGCAGAATTCCTAAGAAGGTAGAGGGAAAACTCCTCCACCACCTCCATAGCAACCCAGGAGCCTTGTAGAAGAGGCTTGACTACTTATATTTTTTGGTGCTTACATTTTTTGGTTCCTTGATCGGGAACCCATTTGAAACCCCTTTGTGCTTACACACAGGGGTTTCACCAAAATTATGTTGGTCATGAAGATTCTTAAAGTTGACTCCAAAGTGAGAGAGGCCTGGGTGTTAACTGAAGTAATTCCTTGATTATTTGGGGTGTTAAAAAGAAGAGAAAAAAAAGAGTGTGTGTGTGTGTGTGTGTGTGTGTGTGTGTGTGTGTGTGTGTTTAAAGCCATACTATATGCGTAGGTTAAGAATTATACAAAATCACATATAATTAAAGAAAAAAAAACTCTTGTATTACTTTGGATTTAACATCAATATATATTGATTACCAAATCACTCAAATGCAACAAAATTTAATATTTTGATTTTTTTTCTCATTATCTTGTTTTGGCAGGAAAAATTATAACTATGATAGCCATCTATTATGCATTTTTTAAAATACATAAAATTATGTTGACCATGAAGACTCTAAAGACTACTTCAGGAAGAAAAAAAAAATCTTATTCCTAAATGGAAAATAATGTTTTTTTTTTAAAAAAAAAAAGACTTGCTGAGAAAGCATGACTTCTAAAAGAGGTGATTATTAGCATTTCTTAAAGCAGAGTGACAAATTATTAATATTTTTATTCATATCAAAACCATATATATATGCTCATGGAAATAAACAAGGAAAAAACATATCTTTGTGTAAAATTTTAAGTTTGGTCTCAATTTTTTTCTTATTTTCCCTTCTAAATCCTGTTAACAGTTATATCCCAAACATTGTTATTTTTTTCCCCAAATTTGGGATAGTCAAAGTTTATCTCATCTTCTTTATATGCTGTAGGAAATACATTTTCTTTAGTCAAACTCAAAAAATTTTCTTTATCAGTGTACTTAAGAGTTTTGGTAAAATATAGCCTACAAAAATATATACACACACAAATATATATATACGATATAGTCACATGTATGTTCTCAATTACCTGAAATATTAAAATTTTAAAAATTATTTTAATATACAATAAAAGGCTTTGTTTTCAACCACTGCTCCTGAAAAGTTTCAACTCAATAATTTGTGGAATTTTTTCCTACTTTCTTTTTTTGTTGCAATAATACAATACAAACTTTACCATTTTAATCTTTGTAAAGTATAAAATTTATAAGTATTAGACTATATGCTTTGTCAATGTGATCACTCTCTAGTTCTAAAACATTTCTTTTCATCCCCAAACAAAATTCTGTACTCATGAATCAGTCACTCTCCATTTTCCTTCTCCTGTTGCCCCTGATATTATTCATCTTCATTTCATCTCTATGGATTTAACTGTTCTGCATATTCTTTGTATGATAGATATGAGACTGCATATCATATAATTCCTTTTTGCATCTGGCTGTTCTCACTTAGATATTATGTTTTCAAGGTCAATCTGCAGTAGAGCAGGTATTAATATTTCATTGTGTTCTCTTTTAATAGTAAAACTGCACACAGCAATTAACAAAGTACTCCACTGCTTTCATCTTGCAGATGATAAAACTAACATCCACATGATGCAGCTGCCCTGAAATATTTGGAAAGACTAACTCTAACACTTCTACCCTACATTGGCTGGTCCACCATTTTTCATTTTATGACATTTGTGCATAAAATTAAAAGGACTACATAAAAAAAGAGAGGATGCAGTTTTTTAAAAATAGTAGGGTTTAGTTTTTAGAACAGTTTTAGGTTTATAGAAAATTGAAAAGAAAGTACACACAGTTTCCATATACACTTTCCTTGCACTCAGGGTGTTTCCTATTTTTAGCAGCTTGCATTGGTGTGGTAAATGTTTAGCACTGAAGAACTAATATTGATCTATTAACTAAAGTCCATAATTCATATTAGCATTCACACTGCACTATACAGTTTTATGGGTTTTGACAAATGCATAACATCCACCATTACAACAGCATAAATAATAGTATCATTGCCTTAAAAATCCCATGAGCTCCTCCTATTTATCCCTTCCCTCTTGCCCACAAACCTTGAAAATCACTTTTTATTTTTTACTTTACTTTCTTTGTAGTTGTGCTTTTCTAGAAAGCCACAGAGTTGGATTAACACAATATAGAACATTTCATACTGGCTTCTTTCATTTAGCAACAGGCACTTAAAATTCCTCCATAAGGTGGACTGAATATATATGTACTCCCAAATTCACAGAAAAATAAATTTTATGATAACCTTGAGAAAATAAACCACCTCAATAAAAAAACTGGAATTAAGAAGATAGATATTGGTCTAGACATGGTGGTGCATGCCTGTCACCCCAGCAACTCTGAGAATGAGGCAGGAGGATTGCATTTTCGAGGTCAGTCTGGATAACTTAGAAAGAACCTGTCTCAAAATAAAATAAAATAAATAAAAAGGCCTAGGCCTGTTAGCCAATATCTAGTACCAAAAGAGGAATGAAGAAGAAGAAGAAAGGAAAAAAAAAGACAGAAGACAGGTGTTATAACTCTGGCAAATAACCATGGCTTTCAGTCAGGACCAATGAAAGATGATACACAGAGAAACATACAGACAAGTCCTTAAAAGGACTTATTTAATAGAAGCATCTAAATTTGTGAGTGTATTAAAGTGATTTACCTGTTCTAATTATATGTTAAATCTAAAAGGATTCTCTTTGAAAGAAAACAGAATCATCCAGAGGTTCTAAATATTTTCAATCAATCAAACTTTTTCAGATGTTGTGGGTTGGATTATGACCCACAAAAAGGCAAAATAAATAAATAAAAGCCAAAGTCCTCACTCCTAGGACTTAGGAATGTGGCTCTATTTGGAGACAGAGTATTACAGAAAAAAAATTAAGTTAAAATGAAGTCATTGGGGGGGGGAATCCTAATCCAAGTGACTAGTGTCCTTATACAAGGAAAAAATTGGTCACAGAGACACACATAATGAAAAGACTACAAGCACAGGAGGAGAAGACCATCTACAAGCCAATAGAGTGTGGGAAGAGTCCTTAAGAAAATAGATACCAAACAATAACCTATTTATGAAATTAGAAAATGGTAAAGCAAACTACACCTAAATCAAGTAGAGATAAGAAAAAAATGACTAGAGAAGAAATAAGTAAAATAGGAAATAGAAAAACAATAAACAACAGAGAAAATCAGCTAATTAAAATATTTATTTGAAAACAAAATCTACAAGTCTTTAGCTAATAACCAAGAAAAAGGAAAGATGCAAATTACTAAAATTGGGAATGAAATATTTCTGCAAACCTTAAAGAAACAGAAAGATTTACAAGGGTGCTATATGCATATTCATAAACCAACAAATTAGATAACTTAGATGAGATGGGCAAACTTCTAAAAAGACACAAACTACTGAGTGTGATAATGTGAAAATGAAAGAATCTAAAAAGATGTATAACAATAAAAAGGTTGACTTGGTAATACTAAAAAATAAAATCCATGATTAAAAGCTCAGGACCATGTCATTTCACTGGTGAGTTCTACTACATGTTTAAAGATTAATTAAATCAATCCTTCACAGCCTGTTTCAAAAAACAGAAGAGGAAAGAATAGTTCTCAACTAACTCTATGATATCAGTAATGCCCTA